AAACCCAAAGCATGCAGGATATAGTTGCGCCATTCCACCATCACCACCACCACCACTATGCTATACGACCTCACATTTTCATCAATCGTATCTAACTTTTATATTTATGATCGGGAGGCCTTGGCCATGGTGTTGAGGGCACTGCCGTTCTTGAACCACTCCAGTTGGGGCTCGTTGAAGGTGTGGGACAGCTTGATCTCGAAGGGAGCGCTGCCGTCGGCGGGGTGGACGATCATGGGGAGGGGCTTGCCAACTTCGAGCTGGGTGGCGAGGAGGTCAACCTAGTTTCAAATGTCAGTCTTCAATGCCTCACTTGGTTTTCAGATAACGGGCGCAAACTTACTCTGTCCTCAGGTCGGATCTTGTCGTAGTCAGCGGGGTCGGAGAAGGTGAGAGGAAGCATACCCTGCTTCTTCAGGTTGGTCTCGTGGATACGAGCGAAGGAACGGGTGATGATGGCAAGACCACCAAGGTGACGAGGCTCGAGAGCAGCGTGCTCACGAGAAGAACCCTCGCCGTAGTTCCAGTCACCAATGACAACCCACTTGATTCCCTTGGCCTTGTAGTCACGGGCGACGGCGGGAACGGCACCCCACTCGCCAGTGCTGTAGTTCTTGATCTCGTTGGCCTTGCCGTTGGCCTCGTTGGTGGCACCGATCAACATGTTGTTGGAGATGTTGTCAAGGTGACCACGGTACTTCAACCAGGGACCAGCCATGGAGATGTGATCAGTGGTGGTCTTGCCCTGGGCCTTGATGAGGATAGGCAGGTCCTTGGCGTCCTTGCCATCCCAAGCATCGAAGGGGGAGAGGATCTGAAGACGGTCGGAGGTAGGCGAGACAGCAACGGTGACAGAGGAGCGGTCCTTGGGGGGAGCCTGGTAGGTGTCATTGCCGGGGTCGTAGCCCCTGCTGGGGAGACCATCGCCAGTGGGAGGCTTGAGCATGAACTCGTTGCCATCCTTGTCCTTGAGCTTGTCGGTCAGGGGGTTGAAGTGGAGGGAGCCAGCAATGGTGAGGGCAACGACCATGTCGGGGGAGGCGACGAAAGAGTGGGTGGCGGGGTTACCATCGTTTCGGCCAGTGAAGTTACGGTTGTAGGATGAGATGATGGAGTTAGCGGTGCCCTTGGGGACATCGCGACGGTCCCACTGACCAATGCAGGGACCGCAGGCGTTAGCAAGAACCATACCGCCGAACTCCTCGAAGGTCTTGAGCTGACCGTCACGCTCAACGGTGGCACGAATCTGCTCAGAGCCGGGAGTGACAGTGAAGCCAGACTTGGCCTTAAGACCGTGGTCGAGAGCGTCACGGGCAATGGAGGCAGCACGTGACATATCCTCGTAAGAGGAGTTGGTGCAAGATCCGATCAGACCAACCTTGAGCTCCTCAGGCCAGCCATTGTCCTTGACGGCTTGGCTAAACTTGGAGATGGGAGTACCCAGATCGGGGGTGAAGGGACCGTTGATGTGAGGCTCGAGCTCAGTCAGGTTGATCTCGATCAGCTGGTCGTACTCAGCACCCTCATCGGCGCGGAGCTCCTTGGAGTAAGCGCGAGCAAAGTCACCTATGTCCTTACGCTTGGTGGCAGCAAGGTAGTCGTACATTCCCTGGTTGAAGTTGAACAGAGAGGTGGTGGCACCGATCTCAGCACCCATGTTGCAAATGGTAGCCTGACCAGTTGCGCTCAGGGTCTCAGTTCCGGGACCGTGGTACTCAACGATAGCGCCAGTACCACCCTTGACAGTGAGGATATCAGCGACCTTGAGAATAATGTCCTTGGGGGTAGTCCAGCCAGACATCTGGCCAGTCAGCTTGACACCAATGACCTTGGGGGCCTTCAGCTCCCAGGGCAGGTTGGCCATGACGTCAACGGCATCAGCACCACCGACACCAATGGCAGCCATACCGAGACCACCACCGTTGGGGGTGTGGGAGTCAGTACCGATGAGGAGACCACCGGGGAAAGCATAGTTCTCAAGGATAATCTGGTGGATGATACCAGAGCCGGGGCGCCAGAAACCAATGTTGTACTTGGCACAAGCAGTAGCCAGGAAGTCGTAGACCTCCTTGTTGATGTCGATAGCACGGGCAAGATCCTTCTCACCACCAATCTGGGCCTCAATCAAGTGGTCACAGTGGACGGTGGAGGGGTTAGCGACGGCATCCATGCCAGCAGACATGAACTGCAGGATAGCCATCTGGGCAGTGGCATCCTGGCAAGCGACACGGTCAGGTCGCAGCTTGAGGTATGAGGTACCTCGCTGGATGTCCTGGCCATGAGGATCATCCAAGTGAGAGTAGAGGATCTTCTCGGCATAGGTCAGAGGGGTGTTGAGGCGGGACCGGACGATGGCGAGGTTCTCGGACATCTTCTTGTAGTTGATGTAGTTGTTATCCTCCCAGATGTTCTGGCGGACCTGCATGCGACAGTCAGACTATGTCCATGGTGCTACCGGATTGTGCGGCCACGAGGCAGCCGTGCAGAGCAGACGGGGTCTTCTTACCTTCTTGTCCAGAGGAGAGTCGGAGACGGTGGCCATGCGTCGGATGGAGCTGGCAGCACCAACGAGGCCCCGGGCGCGGAGAGATCCGCCCAGAACCTGTCTGGTCGCAAGCATGATGGCGGTTGTCTGTGTTGCGAAGTCAATTGAGGAGGGGAGGGGAGATGGTCTGGCCAAGGGGTATCACAGAAAGAAAAGACAACTCGACATCCGCAGTGAAGAGGATGAGGACAAAGAGGGAAAAAATAAAGAGGGCAGAGGATCGAGGCACAGAGTTGTTTTTGGCCGACAAGATCCTGGGGTGGAGCCCACCAAGCTCCAGCCCGCCTGCCAAGTACGTACCGCCGTCGCTCTCCAGAAACTGGAGCACTTTGGGGTGGCCACCGCGGCTCCAGCCAACCACAGGCCTTGAGAAAATAAGCCGCAGTACCGTTTCGTCATTGTAGCCGAACCTCCTCTGAACCGGGGCCCATCGAGATCAAATGCCCTCTACTGCTCGCATCCAGGTCGAGGCACCCAGGCCCAGAGCCGAGGACCATGTGCACGCAGCCTGCTCGAGTTGGCCACCTTGACTCACCTGGATGCACTTCACTTGCCTCAGCATTCCGTCATCTGAGGAGGAGCATGCACCACCACCACACAGCCCAAAGGTGGCTCCAAACCCTGCCCTGCCCTTGCGGAGTGCCCCCAATTCCACAGGCCCGAAGCACCCTGCTGCTCCCGCCCAGATGCTGCTAAATTTGCGCTACGCTGTTTGGGCAGGTTCTCGTGCTATGCGGGCAAGTTCTAAGTTCTAGGCGGATAAGAGGGTTCCACAGCCCACTGGCATGTTTCTGCTAGCGACGCACGACTCCTGCACGGCTGCTACATGACCAGTGTGCTCCTCCCTGGGCCTGGTAGGTTGTGGCAGCATGTGGGGACTCCTGTGCCGGCAAGTAAATAGCCACGGCTACATTACCAACCAAGGTACAGCCCAGCATGTGAAGCTAGTCACGATGCAAAATCGTCCCTACTTCCCATGCCGGTTCGGCAGAGCACAGTTTATCCAGAGTGGCCAATTGGGCGAGAGGATCTTAGTATCAGAAGCCCCAATTAGAGTCACCTGCCGTGAAGTATTCTGTGAATGGCTAGAGACCTGAGCCTGCGGTTTCGGTACGCGACGGTGACCGAACCTCAACGGCGAGTTTCCGGGGTTATGGCAGTTTCTCCACGAACAGCCCGCCTTGGGGCGCCTTGCAATATTTCCCAGCTGCATACGCCCACTGAAACCCCCTGGGAAATACGATTTTGCCGCACATTCTGCAAATTTTTGCGCATTGCACCGAGCTTTGGCCTCGGTTCATCGGCGTCCGGTCGATGTTCGAGGTTGGCCCGAGTCGGCGGGGAGGCTTCGGATTCCGCTAGGAGTTACGATACGGCCTAGAGGCGGCGATACCGCCACTACCGAACCTTGTCGGCCGAGTCAATTTGGTCCTTATAATAAGCTTACCCTGCAGCATCCGATGATCCATCGCATCGCAATATTGAATTCCGATGGGTAAGAAAATCGACTTTTGATAAATTTCTCGGAATTTCCGCTTGTGGGCCTCTTGCCTGTCAATCTTCCTTTCCGCTCAAATATTGTGAAAATGGTGTATCCTCGGTTCTGGGACTCGTTTTACAACTAGGCCCTTTCCACTTCACTCCAACTCTTCCTAGAGGCACCCACCGGAAGTGCACTATCTCCAGCAACTCCCCTCACTTGATGACTGACCAATGAAAGGTTTTACACTGAATAGCGTGCAGGTGGCTTCGGAACACGTATTTCCTTCAACATGATGAGTATCTTCCGGAAACCCAGTAATTCGGGTATAACCTTATCCTGTCGCTGCGAACATATCTATGGGCCCGCTTGACTAGAACTTCTCTTCATTCACGATTAGGTATCCAGGAGCCAAACTTCCCCGCTTGATGCCCAAGCAGGCCATGGCAGACTGCCGTGGGCTGTACCATTTGCTAGTTCCTCGCCATTGATTCTAAGAAAACACGAGGTCATTATTGACCGGGTGATAGGCAAATGGAGCACATGGACCCCACTTGATCACCAAGACCACAGGAATCTGATATACAATCTCCCATTGACCAATGACCGTCAATTGATTACATTTGCTGATAATGTATAATCTGCGATTGCCCATAACAAAGTCGATACTTGCAGAACGACGATACCGGAGGACAACGGCAACTGAACCAAACGACTCATCACATGTCACAAGAAGGAAAGTAAGTGGACGAAAGAAGAGCAAATTGATATTGAATCTTAGCTGCCGTAACCCAACAAGCGCAGGCATCATACCCTGTGGCTGATCCTGAGCTGAACAACTCCCCGGACCGGATTATTTCCTAGATCACCTAGGGCGTATACATCTTTCAACGCCAAAACCCAAAAACGCCCGTCCCGTACCTGGGTTCCATTATCGCCGGGCATGTAATAAAGCATAAAATGTGATAGTCCCTCTTACCCCTGGATGGGCTGCCGCCACCCATCCAACCCTGTCGTCTTCTCCCAGACCTGGGTGTTCCTGTCAAAATCCTGGAACCACTTTTCTATTGCGCTAGTGGCCTGCGAGGAGACAGACTCTTCTGGTGGAGATCGGCTGTCATCTTCAAGAGATAGTCTCTTGTTGGCCTCGGTGTCCTTCTCATCACGCTCCTTGCGTTTCTTTTCGCGCTCAGCGAGCCATTCTTTACGGCCGGCGAGATACCTGGCACTGTGGTCAAGCTTGGCACTCTCGGGCGACAGTCCCTTGTTGGGGCGGTCAAGAGGCGGCGCGGTGAAGAACAGGACGCGGCCATTGTCATCGTGCAAAAACTGCTTTCGAAGCTCTAGAGGCAGCGCATCATTGACAGGATCCAGCAGAGTGTAGACCTCCGGTGGTCGTGGAGGGTTGTACATGTTGGCGTTGGGCATAACGTTGTTGGGTGCTTGAGCCATTGGAGGTCTTTGTACTGCTGGCGGCGGTCCTTGATTGTACTGAGTCACCATCTGATTTTGCATCACTTGGTGGTTCATGTGAGGAGACTGGACGAAATTGGGTGCCGCCTGAGGATACGTGGGCGGTGGTTGTTGCTGGTAGTGTATGGGTCTCATGTTTACCGGTGGAGACGGCGCGGCGTGATGGGGCGGCTGGGGGATAGGCACGGGCGTTTGCTGGATGTGAGCCATGCCTGCCCCAGCCGGCGTGGCAGGCCGGAATTGAGACGTCATATGTACTGGAAACTGGTGATGTGGTGATGGTGATGGAACTGTATGAGCGAACGCTTGATGATGACCACGGAATTGTTGGAAATCGCCAGGGAAGGGTACTGCAGAAAACGTGGCAGATTGCCGCCTGGCAGCGTCAATAGGATTCTCTGTTACGAGAGGTGCAGGCACGACGGAGGGAATAGGCTCAGGTGGCGGCGAATCCTGTTTATGGCGCTATTAGTATTCTGGGTCACGACGTTGAGGTGCTGAGGCGTTGTAGACACGAGTGTTGGGTGAGATAAGGCGAGTGAGAGAAGTTTGCGTGTTCTTGGCCTGAGGCCAAAAAAGTTGACAAGGGGGTGTTGTGGCTGGGTGAATATAGGGTGGCTGAATTGTGTTGCAGTCGCATCTCTTGCTAATGCAGAAATATGCTGGACGTGACAACCATGTCGTATGCAGGGGAATAAAGATTTGAAGGGTATGGCTTCAATGGGAGGATTGAGCTCACTTACATTGGGTTCTCGTGGTCGGCGGTGGACGGCCCCGACGATCGGTGGTGCGTTGGGGCTTCCCCACGTTGGCTTCGGCAGGTCATCGGTTTCCTTTGCGTCTTCCCGCAATAGGTGTTTGATTGGACTCGGTAGTTTGCGCATTCGATATGGCACATCGAACAGATCCATTTCGTAATCTTTCTCTCGGACTTCATCTGGCACGCAACTCGCCCAGGTTTTGATCTTGTTGAAGGAAAACCTCTCCTCGTTGTATCGCGACTCACACACATATATCGCCTTATCATGAGGGAATCCCCGTGGACGCCCGCGCCCAAAGCGGGTGATGAACATGACAAAGCATCGGTCGAGGACATCCTCGATCCGGTGGTCTCGATATTGACCGGTTTTGACCACTTCATGCTCGAAGAAGAACTTGTCCACTCGGTGCACGGTTTGTTCTGGTCGATAGTACCAGCATGCATTGATCCATCGCTGGCCCTCGCGATCCTGCCAAGTTCTATAGATCTGCCCAACGATAGGCTTGCCGAGATCGTTGGCGTTTCGAATATGGACCCAGTCACCTGCAAGCTTATGTCAGTGATCATGCATTAAATCTGGCTGGGGTTGCTAAACTCACCGACTCTCCACTGTTCGCCGTTGTATACTATCTCAGAAAGAGGAAGTTTCCCATCTTCATCTCTGAAGTCATCATCTGGCCTAGCTTTCTCCTGCATAGCGAGGACACGTGCTTGTAGCTGCAACTCGACAGCTGCCTTGAAAAGTGGGCTGTCGTCTTCATTGTACAGCTTGGCGTTCTCAAACATGCGCTCGATATCAGCCATGGCGTGGTCAACATGCTGATACTTCTTCCGTTTCGCCTTCTTCTTGATGTGATCCATAGCAATTGGATTTAGGATTGTTTGATAATAGTCCGGAAGTGCAGCCCTGTCAGGAAGCTTTTCGAAAGGCAAGATAAGTAGAGAACCATCTTCATCCTTCGATTTCCTCAAGCCGCGCAGAATTGAAGTAATCCGGGCTTCAGTAGGGGTCAGAACCGAGGGTGGACGTCCACGCGCCTTGTGTGCGTCGTCGTCGAGGTCTTGGCGACTTGAAAATGGGCGGCCCCTACCACCCCGTCGACGCCGTCCACCATAATGATCGTCGTCATCGTCATCGTCGTCATCATCCTCTTCATCCTCTTCCTCATCCTCGTCGTCCTCGTCTTCCTCATCGTCGGTTTCGCCTGTGGGCGGGGGCGAATCCTCCACGGGTGGCAGCTCTCCCAGATCCGGCAGTTCTGCCTCCTCAGCCGTAACCTTGCCCTTGGCAACAAGCTCACTGAGTCTCTGTTTGAAGAGATCTCTCAGGCGAACGGCGGCGCCAAAGATGGGAGCAGAGGGTCGATTGTAAACTTGCGCATTGTGGCAAATTTGAGCAACATCTCTGACAAATTCAGGAAAGGACGTGTACTGTTTTCGTAGGATTTTGCTCTATTTTCGCGACCTGATTAGCTTGGTGCTCCGTTTGGACCAATGCAATGTGGTGAGATGCGATGCGCCACAAAACCTACCCGGATTGTGCTGAAGGCAATTGGCTCCGATATCACTTCGAAGTAGTCGGGAAGCACGCGACGATTGGGGATGCGTTGAAAACCGGCTGCAAGCTCTTCGCCACTGCAAATTTGAGGTTAGAATGGAACCTGATATTCGCGATCCGTGGATGCTGCCTTACTCTTCTTCAAAGCTGCACAGGTATGTGGACACATCTTGAATCATTCGCAGGAGACCGCGACTGGGATCCTCGTCCTCCTCTTCGTCACCTTCGTCATTGCTGTCTCCCCCAGAATCTACATCAGACGCGGGGTCGGCGCCATCGCGCATCTCCACGTCTCGATTGGCATCGTCGGGGTCCTGGGCCTTGGAAGCCTCGGCAGCTGCAGCTCGTCGTGTGGACATGATGGGCGTCGCAGTGGGAAAAGGCAGCTAAACACGGTCGCACCCAGTTTGCGCTTGCAACAGGCTGGAGCCGCCCCCTGCTAGACAATATTTGCGGGTTGGAATTGGAGTTGAACAATCGTTTGCGGATCTCGACGCGTCTGGGACAGCCGATTTGCGACTGGACGGGGGGAGGGCGGATGGTGGACGGATATGACAAGAAAGCTGGGGATCGCGATGACTAAGCACCACTGGCCCCGTAACTGGATGTGGCAGTGGGGATTGAGACTGAGATCAGTGCGTCTGTGTAGCTGTGCGTCCGGCATGAGCCTTGAGCATGAGCATGATGCGCAGGCGGTGGACACTCGCAGATCGAATGGTACTACAGCTGGGTAACAGACAAGCCACGCCTGCTGGTACTTTCTGCTCCTCTCGCCTAGGTATTGTATCATGTGGACACAACACCTGGGAAGGTCAAGGAATGTGATAGAAGCCAGCGCATCTCAACTCTGTGCTCTTTTTCTGCCCCGTCATTAGTCATAGATCTCAACTTGATGAAGTCGAAACTCCATTTGCTTTCTCTAGATGGTTACACAAGTTGCTAGCACTTTTTGTCATTTATGCATGCCCACCGAAGTCTAGAGCATAACCTCCCACTTTTATCTTAAACCTCAACTCTAAGGCTATTTGCACTACCAAATCGCGGCTTCTCTCTACCTCAGAGGAAGTCACGCGCCTCGGAGATTAGCGCCATATCTGCTGAGATACCATTCATCGCATCCTTGAATAGCTTGATTCACATCATCGCTACTGCCTTTGCCGAGTGACAGCGTAACTCGCGCTGGCCTCTTCACTCACCCACCCTCAATTCAGAATCTAGGATACAGCGTGGCAGCATCACGGGAAATTCGCCATGAGAGCTAGATATAGAGGCCCGGCAGGGAGTGGTACGCTTGAGCTTGGCGACGATGCCACCGTCCAGGCGCTATTCGACGAGCTTCGCTCAAAGTCCGGAATTGCTAGCTTCTCCGTCAAGTATGGGCCTCCCATGGCAATGAAACTGCTCAACTTGGAGCAAGATGGGGACAAGCCCGCAAGATCACTTGGGCTGCACGGAGAGACATTTACCATTGTCCCAGACGAGGCGAGACCCATCTCGCCAGTGTATTCTGCACCTTCTGCGCCTGCAGCCAAAGAGAAAAGCCGTCCTCCTGGCCCCAACCCTAAGGCGAGCGAGAAGCCAGAGGATATTAATGTGCCGTGGGTTGAAAAGGAAGGCACTCTATGTAGGTTTCAGGCGCACCAGGTGCATATCGGTCCTCCCTTGAAGAAGTTTGCTGATTATTTGGTTCTTATTTGCTCTGGTAGTACTACGTGTCATGCCTAGCGACAACAGCTGTTTGTTCACGGCATTTGGTGGTGCGCTACCGAATCAACTGCCCGCTCACACGCTACGGCGCATGATGGCAGAGTACATTCTAGAGCACCCGGATACCTACACCGAGGCCGTTTTGGGCTCCCCTCCTTCGCAGTACTGTCGTAGCATCCAGGATCCTGATAGATGGGGCGGTGGCATTGAGTTGAGTATTCTGTCTTCGATATTTGAGATCCAGATCTGCACGTTTGACGTCCAGGTATGTTCAATGGTCATTCGGCATGCATTATATCATTTGTTGACATGGACCATAGGCCCAGAACTTGATAAACTTTGGAGAGGACAAGCAAGAGCGGTGTATTCTTTGCTTCTCCGGAGTGCATTACGACCGGGTGGCATTGTCGGTCTCGGACTATCCTCACACCAGCACATCATACCCGCCTGAGATGGACCGGACAATATGGCCGACGACCGATGATGAGGTTCTCGAGAAAACGAAGGAACTGGTCCGAAAGCTCAATGAAGCACATTACTACACCGACACCGATGGCCTGGTACTTAAGTGTGATGTTCCCGGGTGTAATTGGATTGGCAGCGGCCAGGCGGCCGGCAGTCAGCATGCCTCGGAGACAGGGCACTTGGAGCTTAGCGAAATCAAGGATTCGGAAGAAGATGTGCTCCGCCGTTGTGATACGAGCACCTGCGATTTCATGGGTCAAGGGGAAAAGGCAATCCGGCAGCACCGCCTTGATACTGGGCACAAGAAGTTCTCAATAATCCCCGATCGGTGATGATAGATCCATATGTATTTTTTGCACCACTATCATGAAATCATTTGATTAAGTCTACATAATCATTTCTGTGAAAGATTATCATACATCAATCATTCTGACGTTTCGTGTGGTCTCTGTTGGGGTCACCGCCTCACTAAAACGATGATATCCTCTTCTCTATTATACAAGTTGACCATACCACCACCATATTTTGAAATTGCACTTTTCAGAATAGAGCCCCCGGGGCGACATGAATTTTGTATGTTTGAATGTAGATAAACGATGGTCATATCTGTTCGTCCTTGGACACATATTATAGCAGGCAGAGAACTGGTGGCAAGTCATCAATCCACCGTCTGCCTGCTATTAGCCAACATGGTTTAGGTCGAAGGATTGCTCTGGCTATTCTTGCGGTGTATGTGATCGATCTGAGCTAGATCCATGCTCAAGAACTCATGCTTGTTTGTCCAAATCTGCTGACTTTCAGTGAACTCATCCATCTTGTCGGGGCTGGGCGGGGGATCGGTGATCTTCGTGATCAGGTATGCCGTCGAAGCCTCAGCGATGCCGTAGATAAGCACACCGACAAGAGGGACCTTGACTAGGATATAGAAACCCAGGCCGAAACCGAAGAGAACTCCCTCGCGATTGCGGAACCATTTCTTCTTCTGCTGCTTAGTGAAGTGGATGCGTGCAAAGTAGGGCTCTAAAAGCTCTCGCATCAAGCTTCTGGAGGAGAAGTATGACTGAAGAAAGACCACCAGATAGCGCTTTGGGAGGAAAATGCCAGTCCCGAATATGACAGAAGCAGGACCGAGACCGACAGCTTTGTTGAAGGTGTAATAACTAGCAGCAGGGAGAACAAAACGGCCGACGTATGGAACGTATGATAGGAGGAAGACAGCCAGAGATATCAGGCCTCTCTTGGCAAATCGAAGAAGAAAATTTGTAATAGCCTCGGCTGTACTGTCAGAATGCGTGCTCCCATCTTTCACTTTGTAAGTCTTGAGATTCGGGTAGTAGAGGTCCCGTAGTTTGTCGGGCTTTTCATGTTCATGCTTCTTGACGTATGTCATATCAACCCATCTCAAAGACTTCATGAATCTTTTCAACAAAAGTTAGATATTGTTTGGAATACGAGAAAAGAAAGGTCCGAGAGAGGGAGACATACAGATTATCCAATGTAGGAACCATGTAACGCATGAGAGTCATGAGAAAGAAAGGAACCTGGAGGACGGATTCTTCGATAAAGTTGAAACCATGTATGACTGATTCATACCACTGGACGGATTCCGGGTTAAGGAATCGCGATAAAACCCAGAGAGATATTCTCAGGAAGAAAAACTAAATGTACATGTCAATCATACTGTCGAGCAGAATAGGCTTGATAAGCTGGGCCAGGTTACTCACAGGTAGCGACACCAGAACTCGAATTCCAATACCGACGGCAACTGCCATCGCAGCTTGTTTGTAATGATCATTTGAGAAAAGCTCTGGATTTTGTAACGCTCTGTGGGCTATATATTGCGAGGTTGTGATATTAGTCATTGGTTGTGCGTCTTCACAAGCTCGTACTTAGACATACCTCCAACTAGAGTGAGCTGCATTCCACGTAAAACGGCATTGAGATCGAAGTGTGACAAATCAAAAGCTTTCTTGAGCTTTTCCTTGTCGATGTTGTCTTCAACCACTTTTTTCAACTTTTCGGTCTGCTCATGGAGCTTGTCGCCCGAGTCCCCCGCCATGATGAAGCTAAGGCGAAGGTGCTGGGTGCAAAATTGACGATCGTTTGTAGGGAGCAGGATGTGAATGTAGCAGTGACTCTGTGGAACAGCAGCTCAGGGATTGCTTCCCTAAAGAGCACAACGGTATGCAGCGATTTACCGGGTGATGTATCCGGGATCTGTACCAGAATATATCGACGTTTGAACAGGTACGAGGTGGGTTGACAGCCACTGGTTGACGTCAGCACCTGCTGGGGACTTGCAGGCAGCTAACTAGGGCGGGAGATGGGCCGACAGTTCGGGAGGATAGTTATCTTATCGCCAAGGAAGGTCACGCGCCACAGTGGTCTGGTCTCAGCCCCTCGCTTTCTCGCCCTCAGCCACCCCTGTGCCGCGACTGTCCCCAGCTACCTATCGCCGACTTGCGTGGTTGCCGTAAAGCTACACGAACCTGACGTCGACCGGTTCGTTTGCTCTCTCCGGACTTGGAGACACCTACAATATTCAAAGCGGAAAGAAACATCCATTCGTTGCCGGTGATGGAAAGGCCCACATTGACATTCTAGCCCTGTCACGATGCGCCTGCATGACTGGACTCGGCTCGCATTGCGCCTTTCCCAGTCCTAAACATCCTCCGCCTCGACCATCATGGATTCTCCGGAGGTTCGACCCCCAGGATTCCGGGCTCGTCGTCGGGTCGCCAGCGCCCCGGTGACACCACGACCGCATACCGCCGAGCACCCTCCCGCCGACGACCCCGTAGAGACGCTCTACTACCACCCCAACGTCAAGATAGTCGCTTTCACTAGCTCGGGCAAGGCCCTGCTTCAAAATACGGACGCTGCTCGCGAGGAAGCGGGCACTTTGTTGGCTCGTTCCCCAGTGGAGAGAACACTCGCTGTCGGTAAGCCGCCTCCCCTATCTCCGATTTCGCGACACAGTTGAGCATGCTGAGACGGATCATCAGCTTCTCTTCGCATATATCGAGCACCCGGATCGGTCGCATTCTTGAGCTGTGGCTCTGCTCTACAGCCCATACTACCCAAGAGCCAATGCTGGTGTATAGACGAAGAGAACACGGTGTTTGTCTTGCAGATCCGACGCCCAAATTATTGGAGAATAGAATTGCAGGAGTCTTGGGATACAGGCGACAGGAGCACACCCGACGCATTGAGAGAAGTGTTGGGTATGATCTTGCAGTTTGAGAAAACATACTGTCCTTTCCAACGTTCATTCACCGTGGAGGTGGAGGAGCCCACGACCCCTACGATAAAGAAAGCATGGACGCCGAAACATACGCCGAATTCAGGACCTATGATGGGCATTGTGACCCCCGAGCTGGGTTCTCCCGCCTCCCCCCAGATAGCGAGAACATTGTTCGACTCTAGTGGGCGTCGCCGCTCTCAAGGCTATGATTTGGGTACCTGTAACATCAGGGGCCTCGGGTTACGATCGATGTTGTCGGATGATCATCCGCTCTCAATGGCAGGATCGCGTCGCTCCTTAGACTTACTACTGGGCGGGGAAGGTTCTGCGGCACATACATCATTCATCTCGGGAATTACTGGCGAAACCGATTCCAAACTCGAAGAGTCTCCAGTGGTTTCGAGAATAGTCGATGATATACAGTCTCGCTCTGCGACAGATACTGTTCCAATTGCGCCAAGGGATCCCTTCACTGACAATACAGCAGCCTCGATCTGGAACGATTTAACTGTAGAAAGGCCAGAACAATTTCACGGACCATTGGCACATCATGCAATTGACGACGTGAAACCATCCTTGGAGCGTGCGCTTAGTGCTCCCCTCTTCCCCACACATTCAACGTCTCAACCCCGCCGAGCGGTTCCTGAAACTATCCTGGAGAATGGTGACGACAACCTCTTATCACTCGATAACAGTGAACCCTCTGGTGGCATTTCGCCATCCCCGTCTCAAGACTCGTTCCATAGTGTCAAATCTTGGGATTCCGTTGACGACCCAAGCCCCATCCCTCTTGGGCAGAAGTTCAGCGCCAATTCAGGGGTATCCTCATCAACCGCGCTGGAAATTAGACAGTCTTTCGTCAGGCGACGGGCCAGACATCGCTCGAAAAAATCAGAGTCGGATATTCCAACTGGCGGAAATGGACATGCTTCTGTTCCTGCACCGAGCAATAATGTTGACCAGTATCAGGCTGTTATGGGCATGGGTTTCTTAGAACAGGCAAGGAGCTTACCGCTGTTTATCCTGGCCAAGACAGTCGAAATTCTACTGGGCCCGCCAGCCTACCTTATTAAACTCATGCTCAGAATTGCTGCCAGGATCATTGCGGGAGAGTGGAGAGGGCAGGATGTCGGGTATGATGACGATGGTGAACAGATCCCGGTGCACTGGGATCTCTCAGACGACGACGAGCAAATCGACTAGCAAGGGCCTGTCCGCCGTTGCTGTACCTGAACTTAGTCCACTATCAGATGCGACTCAAACCTCCGCCCATTCGTTTTCTGTGACAACCCCAAGGCCAATCATGAAGCAGAGCCCTGGGTAGGTTGTACCGATGTGGACGGCTGGTGTAAGTTGACCATGTGCGCTGGCCGTGCTTGTTTATTTGATGGGTGGACCCTAATATCGCACTTTGCCATTTTCGAGCGGCGATTAGCATTTCTTGAGGCTTGGTTTCATTAGCCTCCAGTGCGTGATACGAGATACGGAGTAAAGGGAAATATGGCTTTATAGTTTAATGTATGGAGGAATGGTTAATATTGCATAGCAATTTCACGATGGGCTGCACGATTTCGCATTTTGTGTGTAAAGGTAGGATGCACAAACTCTCCAACTCATTTTCTAAGACACATAAAGAGACTATCTACACCAATTTTATGTACTGATGCCCAAATGTGAGGTTGAGTGTAAGAGTGCGCGACCTCAACTTAAGTCGCTGAGATGACACCGGAATCACCTCACAGGTCGGGCGTATTCACCTTACCTACGTTATCCTCAACCAAACGTTGGTATCAGCCCTAGGCGGCCGTCAAATCCAAGCAGAGCCCCATGCTAAATCCAGCCGAAGCGAAATATCAGACCCTGGGCGCGCCTGATCCCTGGGTCGTACTGCCCGGGTTTCTACGGCAAGGAGACAGCAGCGAATCAGAAGGCAGCTGGAGGTCGGTCTAGAAAACGATACGACGAGTACGGCTGGGAGAGATGGAGCCATCGCACGGCCTCGGGATATGCACTAGCCTTCGTATCGGATCGCAACAATGCGATTGGCTGCCGCCTTGATAGAGCGCAGAGCTAGCAGTTAGCCACGGA